ATTGAGTTTTTGTCTATAATCTGCACAAGATCGAGACCGTGTGCTTTAGCGAGTCTCGTAAACTTACTTTAAAAGTGAGATTCGAATCTGTGTTGTTATATGATAATTTTTTACCAAAGTAAGCAAATAATGACGTCATTAATTTGAGTATGAAATCATCTCAGTTTACTTTAGACTTAGTTTCCTGCAAATGGAAAGCAACTTATGAATACTATCTTTTAAAATCGAAAAAAATGTTTCGAGGGAACTAAATAATATATTGTATCCAAATGAAATGAGAGAAAAACAATATTTCAATGCATAATTTCAAAGGGTGCATTCTTATTCTTAATGCGAACACCGTTATCATTCTTAATTGTTTAACATTTGATAAACAACAAAGATGAAATGATTCCACGAGCATTAATTGATAAATGGATATTAATATTGTTATAAGCATTAATAAATGGAATGCAGCCTAAGGGCCTTAACACAAGGATAATTGTAACAATAAGTTTGTTCGCATTGCATGCTCCAACATGCTCTTATCTGCTCCTATGTGTTATACCATAGCTTCTACTCACTCCAATGCGTTCATTGGAGCATTGGAGTAATTATGATAGGAGCAGGTAAGAGCATGTTGGAGCATGCGACATGACAAACCTAATGAGACGCGTGTGATCCACCTCATGGGTTGGAAATTCATTCAAGGAGATAACAAGAAGAGATAAGAAGAAGAATCTAATGAGTGAAACGTGAATCGTAATCATTGACATACAGTATTACGATTACGATCATCGATATATACATAATAGTACTGGACGGAGTATAGCATCGAAATCATCTTGATAGATCTAGAAAGAGATAGAACGATGTTGGGTAACAGCGATCAATAAGACAATAGTAGAAAGAGAGTTCCATGCTCAAACTTATTTTTTCTAAGTCCATCAAGACAAAAAATCAAACATTTTGCCGTATAATCCGTCCAGTACTATATATTGATGATCGTAATCGTAGATCAACGCACAATGTTTTGATTAACCTCCGTCAACTTAACGTTCTACGTCTCAGTTACGGCCATCTTTGTTGCTTAGATCCTAGTTGCACCAATGTCACTTTGACTTTAAGCGAGACTTAAAACTCTATCTGTCTCGTTTTAAAGCCAAAAAGAGACAGAGATAAAAAGAGTTTTAAATCTCGCTTAAAATCAAAGTAAATGCAATTGAGCCTAAGTGAATTTAGAATGCAGTTTCAAATAATTCAAAAAAACTCACCAAGATACAAGCAATACTGAAATAGATACATATACAGGATAATCTCCATGGCCTTACAACTTAAAATGGCCTATATAAATAATTCAGAAATTTCTCATTTAGCCAACAAGAAAAGAAGTTTAAGATCCTGATTCGTGCGTTCAGATTCTTGGCTGCTCGGCTCGCAAGGCGCGAAGTCGGAAGACGCGCGAATGGGCGCGAATCGAATTCGACATTTCGAGGACGAACAGCGCCGACTCTCGTGCGACGACCACGTACGCCGGAAATGATGCGCGCGCAGTCGGCCAACCAACCGATCTCCACATCACACGGACATGGTCGGAGGGGCGCCCGGCGCGATCGGGTGGTGTCTGGTGCCCCCACCATTCGCCTCGCAATTGCTCCGCGCGCCTCGCGCCCTCGCGCCGCTCCGCTCTGTGCGCATCGTGCCGTGCCACTTGCGTGCGCGCACGTGTGTACGTCGGTGTGTGTGCATGGGTAGATTTTTTCGGTTTTTGAAAGACAGTGCACCACGATGGTGATCTCGCAGGAGGTGCTCTCGAGGGCGGAGGAGATCGCCGACCAGGTGAATCTTGTGGCACGATTGCGTTTCTTAACCGCTTGGTTGTCGGATGACTCGCGGATCCCGAAATCCGTGAGGCCCCCCACGCGTGAAAGAACGAACGAAAGGGAATTCGAGTCCTGTGGGAGAGCGAACCGCACGGTGCGGGCGGCCCGCTCTTAACAACGTCATCATTCTTTGGCGCGCGTATTTTTCCATATTTTCGCATTTACGCGTCTCGCTCCTTGTCGCGTTTCTACGGCCGCAATTAAAACGATTGTATGGCCGAGGTTATGAATTCCACAGGTGAATTTTCCTCGACAGATACGCAAGTCGCCGACGATCAAGCTGTGATGATTTTTTTACGTCTCTTTCTCAGCAGTTACTCTGTAGATACAGTCATTTGATACAAACAGATTTCTTCAAATGGATCCATTTTTTATAGCTGCATATGTGTACAAGGATGACTTTGATTTTTTGCTGATATTTATCATCCGTTACTTTTAAATTTGCTTTATATGAATACGAATAGATAATTGAGTAAGTATTTATGAAAATATTACAAATCTGTAAGTAAATGAAAATATTACGTTTTCACTTATGTGTTTAATCTCATCGATTGATTTTCATTTAATATTGTTTATTTAATATTGTTATGTTTTATTTAAGTGATGTTTATATGTAACTTTAGTGAATATGTGGATCTTATTGCCTATACTTTCACAGCAGACCTACTTTTCATACTTGTGCACAATAATGCGGCATTATTTTCTGATTAGCAAGTTTCAAATATGTATGAGAAAGATAATCTGTATCGAACAATAAGATAAAACTTTTTAAAATAAACATTCATACAGCAGATTCTATCTAAAGATGTTCTAAATATGTCCTCTACGTCCTAGATGTTTCCAGGACATCCTCTAGATAAAGTATGCTATGTGAACAAATTTTAAAAGATAATTTTTTTAAAGTTCTTAAAAATTATATTTTTACGAATTGTAAAGAGAATCTATAGTTCATAAAAATTTAATTTTTAAAAACTGCTATAAGCTTCCAAAATCTTATCTATTAAACAAATATTAATTATAATTTTTTTATTCAATTAAATAAAATTAATAGATATAATTAAAATAGATATTAAGGTATTTATTTATTGCAACAGGTAATCCGCAATGGCAAGCACGTGCTTCCAACATTGGCACGATTATGCCTCATTGCTACATTCCTAGAAGATGGTTTACGAATGTGGTTCCAATGGAGCGAACAGCGAGAATATATGGATGCTTCCTGGGGCTGCGGAAAATTCCTGGCTACTGTCTTTGTCTTTGTAAATCTTGTTGGACAACTCGGTGGATGTGTCATGGTGATTGGCAGATTGCGAGTCAGCATAGCTTGTGGAGTTCTATTCTTCATCGTTATTCTACAAACTATCGCTTATAGCATCCTATGGGACATGCAATTCTTATTCAGGAATTTGGCGCTAATAGGAGCGCTCTTACTAGTATTGGCCGAATCTCGTGTTGAAGGCAGATCGCTGTTTGCCGGTGTCCCTAGTCTCGGTGACAACAAACCTAAGAATTTACTGCAATTAGCTGGTCGAATACTGTTGGCGTTTATGTTCATTACGCTGATTCGCTTCGAAATATCCTTTATGCAAATCCTCCAAGATATTGTTGGTAGCATCCTAATGGTGCTGGTAACAATCGGCTACAAGACTAAACTGAGCGCATTGCTACTTGTTGCTCTACTAACTGCGTTAAACTTTTACCACAATGCGTGGTGGTCCATTCCCGATTACAAACCTCTCAGGGATTTCCTTAAATACGACTTCTTCCAGGTAAGTTTTCTGAGTTTACTAATTACATAAATATTGAATATTTTTATCACGTTAAAATTTATTACAACGAAGAGATTAGTTTCTTAATGTTTTATTTCTGCAAAGTAATTTTATAATGTAAAGTGAAAGAAAAATTATATATAAGTTAAATTAAAAGAATTATTTTTATATCAGAAAAAATTGCTAAATTCAAAAATTGTAAAGGAAGAGCTAATTTTAATTATTTTGAATCTAAAGATTTTAATTGTTTAATTTTGAAATGATTGTAATTTTTGTGTGATTCAATATACCTATTATTTAGTTTAATATATAATTCCAATATTTAATCTTATCCTCTATAAATATTCTGACATTCATTTCTTATTTTATTTTATTACAGACATTATCAGTCATCGGTGGCCTTCTGATGATAGTCTCTCTAGGTCCAGGCGGTGTATCGATGGATGAACATAAGAAAGAATGGTAGAAATAATTCCTCTTATGGATATGGAAGATGTATGCGTCATTGGGTTGTTGTCATGAAAGTTAAAGTGAATTATCGTGTCTCCCGTTTTGTCCTTATATGCGCTCAAAAAAAATTAAAACGAGTCAAATAACAAGGAACTCATTGCATTGGATATCATCGGTCTAGAAACGATCATATTTTATGTTGACTAATCAAATTTTATATTTTAACATTGCGGCAAAACATTCAAAAGATTTCGAGATCAGTAAAAATTATAAAATATTTTAGAATATAAAGTTAACATGAAAGAAATAACAAGAAAAAACGTACATACTTAAACTGCAATTCATAAAAATTTAAATACTCGTATAAATTTTATCGAATGATCATGAAAAAAAATTAAGATATGAAATAACAATTGTGTTATTCTTTTATATGTTTTAGGATATTTGTACACGTATTAACTATATGCAAAACTAACTAATTGCAAAAGTTTTATAAATTATTTTTAATTTTATATGCCAATGTATTTTATTTTGTAAATCACTAATACAATAATCGATAAATTTCGAAGATTTGTTTTTGGCATATAAATAATTTATAAAGCTTTTGCTTGATATATGTGTACAAGTGTCCTGAAATATATAAAAGTATAATTAACAATTGTTGTTTTATAGTCTTCTGATTTTTACATGATGATTCAATGAAATTTATGTGACTATCTGAACTTCTATAAGCGGCAATGTACACACACACACACACACACACACACACACACACACACACACACACACACACACACACACACACACACACAC